TAGGGCTGGGTTGGGGAAACAGTTTGCTGGCTTTTATCACCTTAGCTTTAGCCCTTCCGGCGCCTGTCGCACTCTGGATATGGGGAGAGCGGATCAGAAGCTGGAGTACAAAAGGCTTAATATAATCTTAGATCTTTGTTAGACCGAGTGAACGGTGCTTATATCTTGAACGCTCAATACTTTGCCAGAACTTCATCCGTCCACTCCCATAGCTTCTTGGCCAACTTCTCGTCTTTAGCTGTTTTGTCGAGCATAGAACTGCTCTCTACTCCCACCGGCATATAGAAGGATCCATTCACAAGCTCGTCTCTCTTCGCGGCAGCTGCGACCCAGAGCTGGCTCCAACAACCTTGACGAGGTTCTAGCATACCCTGTATCCAATTGGTCGCGCTCACAAATGCTTTCTTCATAGGTGGCAAGTTCGTCACTAGGCCCGTCTTTACAACTCCTGGATGAACTGATACTGCGAGAATACAGGGGTACCGTCGGGATAGTTCTGTCGCGTAAATGATATTTGCTAGCTTGGCCTGGCTATATAGGAGATGTCAGTATGGAAAACGTGGTAATGAAAGTAGATGCCTGGAGGTTGATCAGAGCAGGAAATACATACCCATATCGGATCCAAGATCCAGCAACTCCTTCCTGAGTTGTCCTCACCTCATCGAACAGAATACCTCCCCTAGGATGGCCCCTCCAGCCGGTAGATGTCAGTGCAATCATCCTCACATCCGATCCTGGCTCTTCGGCAGTCTTCTTAAGGACTGGAAGTAGCTGTTGAATGACCATCGCATTCCCTAGATGATTGATAGCAAATTGAATTTCGAACCCGTCCTTGCTCAGACCAGCAGGAGATGCCATAATGCCAGCATTGCACATCAGGATATCGAGCCGATCATGGGTGAAACGCTTCAAAGCCGCTTTTACCGTTGAGAGCGAACCCATGTCCATTTCAAGAAACGTCATGGAAACAGAGGGGTTGCTTTTGGCAACGTTGGAGATGACCGTTTGGGCTGCTGTCGCATTCCGGCCAGTGAAGTAAATATGCGCTGGGTCGTGTTTTGCTAGCGCTTCAATTGATTCTTTGCCTAGACCTGCCGTGCCTGGAAGACATACATCAGCATGACAAAATGGGAACGAAAACATGGCATCACACCTCCGGTTACTAGAATGACTTTGTTCATCAAGGAAAGGATGTCCGTATCCGGATTGAAGTTTGTGTGTCCTGACATATGAGGCGGCATCCTTGTTGGAGGTGGTATGGTGTTTGACTTCCGGGTGGTAAAATCGTCGAAATCTCTAGAGTGATCTTTTTGCCAAGCCACTTCAAACTGTATCAGGCCTTACAATTGGCAATCTTATTTGATGTTGAAGAGTCCGGCTACGTTTTTGAAGGCTGGTATAGCTTATATAGCTTGCTGATAGAAGGTCTAATCGGTCGGTGTCGGATGGATTGACACTCCATGTATATCCGAGCTTGGATTAGGTCGGGAGTCTCGGGAGAATCTGTACTACTAAGGTGGTTTCTATTGTGACTACGCAATTTGCCGCTGAGGAAAAGGTCATTTCAATCACCATCATATGTCATTTGATACCCTCAACAAACCTGGCCTGGTCAGCCCCTCGACTCAATGTGAAATAGCTAACCAATCAGAATTCAGTAGAGACCAGAGTCTGAGATCCCGGGACGATTAAGCTATGCCATCTCGGGCGTTAGCCCGTCAGCAGTGTCTCTGGAGCGCCTCCTTGTGGAGCCGGGGCAATCAATGGCCCATGCCAGGCAAAAGTGTCCGAAGCGAGGCAGAGGTCACTCAATTCTACAGAACCCAGCACATCGAATGGATACTCAGCACTTTTGATCCCACGAAGTCTCCTTTACCTGAATGCGACGGGCTCTTGGTAGGCTTTGAGCTGCGCGATACATCGTCAGGAGCACAGATCAGGAAAACAAGGGCTCACAGATGTCTGGGCAGAGACTGGGCGAGACATGTCTATCAGCCAATGCCATGCCGCCGCTCAGAACAAGCTCGACGACTGGGCTAGCCTCAGAGACCCAGTCGAGAGAAGGAGGATTCAGAACAGGATACATCAAAGGTCTCGGCGTAAGTCGCTTTGGATTTTGACGCGAGCCTGGTCGAAAGAAGCTAGGCTGACACGACCTAGGTCGGCGCAAAGCAGCCCAGGCACTCCTGGATCTGGGTGATCAGCGTGGTTTAAACCAGGATCATGAAGGACAGAAGAAGAAGTCCGCGTCGATATCTACCGGCCCCTTTGGCGTCCTTATACCCATGAAACCGGCGCAGTCTCTAGCTCTGCTCCGAGAGCATAGCCAAATCCTTGCTTTGAGCCAGAAGGCCACTTCTTCGGGGAGGCCACACACTAATGTGACATCGTCTGATGTTGAGAGAATCGCCAATTACCGCCACAAGCAACAGCTTATTCCTCCATTGATACCGTACATCAAGAGCACAACTGACTTATCGACAATTGGTCCGGTGATATTTCCTATCTCCCTGGACCACAGGCTCATCACCCTCATACAATATAACGTGCTGCGAGCCATCGTCATCAATATGACGGTTCTGTCTCTCTACGATATGATGCCTGAAGAGTGCGGCGCCGCATTTAGCCTTTATTGTCTGCCTCCGCCGCCTCATGATGTGCCCCCGTCGTTAAGCCCGACACTTCTTCAGCAAACCTCTCCGCATCCCGTGTGGATTGGCACCGCCCCAGATCCTGCAATGAGAGACAATCTCATCAGGAACTATGGACGTTTTGACGAAGACGACTTATGCTGTGATATGCTAGGTGGGTTGTACGAAGGCTTCAACGACGTGGAACGGAGGGGAATGATTGCGTGGAATGATCCATGGTGTCCAGATGGTTGGGAGGTCACCGAGGGCTTCGCCAGGAAATGGGGCTACCTTCTGAAGGGATGCAGCCAGCTCATATTATCAACCAACAGATGGCGTGCACAACGAGGAGAAGAGCCGTTGATATTTGAGACCTGATTAGCCTGATTAGTGAGAAGATGTGGTCAGTCTCCGCCTCTGCAGCACATTGAAATTGAAGGCTTTCGCCAAGCTGCACACTTGTAATCTTCTTGTTCAATATCCCATCAAAAATACAATGTCTCTTATTAGTAAAACTTGGACCTAGAAAGCTTCCGAGCTTACCGACAACTTTGGCCCAAGGTATCCTCTAAACCCAGCGGGGGCTAAACTCAATCGGGATTAGATTAACCGATCACACAGCTGATTAATGCAGCGTAACGCTTAGGGACTACAACGTGATCTTATAACAACTCTTCCAACAGTCTTTCATCGCCCTGAATCTCCCAAAGCATCAAGCTATGTATCTCCGAATGTATATACAACCAGCCAAATCCATCCACACCTAGTTGGAAAATGACAACACTTCGCAAAGCCTGCGCGAACTGTACTAATGCGAAACGGAAATGCGTAGTCCAAAAGCCAAAATGCGTTCGTTGTTCCCAGAGAAGCCTCGACTGTGTGTATGAGTTGGAACCTCTGAAAGCCCCGCCTACAGAGTCTGAAAAGGTACTTACGTTTGGGTTTCAATTATCGAATTGCGATTCCTTGGGGGTCTGTATCATGAGAACGATCAAACTCAGAGATCCTTATGTTGACCCAGCAATCTGTGACCCCGGCCACGATAATTGCCTCGAAATCACAAGACTAGGTTTTGACACGGTACCGCAGCTCGTCAGAGCGGGAAGGCCTGCGATATTCGTACATCCCAAGTTACGGCTACCTAGTATATGTAACCACTTTACGTCCCTTACAGAGAATAATGCGAAGGGTGTAAAATCCGAAAGCTTCAAGTGCCTAATTCAGATCGAGATTCAAACTGTCTCGCCGAAAGAAGCTCTTACAGCACTTCAAGCTCTCCTGGTTCATCTGGCCGCGTCTATCTTCTCGCCTTCTCCAACTGAGCAGGAAGAGGCCGAGAAGTCATTTCAAATCTTGTCTGATTGGACGCAAATGTTGCTGGCTTTTGTCGATGCTGGAATGCCAAAAAGCCAGTCTCCGTGGCAAGATTGGCTATTAGGAGAAAGTAAGCACATTTCTTTTCTAACCCTTGACCATGAGCTTTTATACATTCGAGACCTCAATATGAAACTGCAAGGTGCGATGTACTCTGCATCGATCAACTTGATATATTTCATTTCTTGGACGTCTAGCTTTTGTTATGCTAATTCGTTGGGCAGGTGTTAGGCGAACCGTGTTCATGGCATACGCACTCAATTTGTCGGCATTCGGGTACAAGTATGGATATTGCTCCAATTGGCTATTCATGGAATCACTACCATTTGACTCTCGACCCGGATTATGGATGGCAGAGTCCCCACAGGCGTGGATCTATAAAGCTCACGCCAGATGCGGCGAAGAAGTCGGTGAACAGCTCAAATCATACCATGAATTTGCGGAGGCTTTCCACGGTAAAACGCCGGAATTCTGTGGCGACGCGTTTCTATCTTTGGTAGCATTTGCCCACAATGGTCTTGGTGGGAACTAAGCCTAACACGGCTTCACGAACACTACCTTGGTCTAATCCCTCCGACCAACGAGGCAGAGTCGACCCTGAATAGATTACTTTGCCCTGTGACATTTTTATGCAATCGCCTATATAAACCAACATTGAACCCAATCAATCCATGTTGGCACACTTGCATCTTCTCCCTGCACTTCTACCGTTCAAACTAATTCAGACAAATCATCATGTCCTCTACAAAACCTCTCCTCGTCGTCCTTGGTGCCACAGGCAATCAGGGTGGCTCAGTCATTGCACACTTCCTCTCTCTGTCACCTCCACCCTTCACAATTCGTGCTGTAACTCGAAACACGTCATCAACCAAGGCATTATCACTTGCATCACAAGGAGTCGAAGTGGTGACAGGTGACTTCGATAAACCACACTCACTTGACGCGGCCTTCAATGGTGCAACGATCATCTTCAGCGTGACTGACTTTTTACACTCTATGATGAATTCCACGTTGCGCGAGAAAGCTGCCGCATCTGATGCAGGCGCTGGGTTTTACATCAGAGATTACGAAGCCCAGCAAAACAAAAACATCATCGACGCTGCCGCTAGAGTCAGCACACTTGAGAGATTCATCTTCTCCACACTTCCGTATATGAGCAAGCTAAGCGGTGGCAAATATGCCCACGTCTACTATTCCGATAGCAAAGCAATTGCAGAGGAATATGGCAAGTCAACATACCCGGATCTCTGGAAGAAGACCAGTACTTTCTATGCTGGGTTTTATCTCGAGAACTTGCAGGCCGGGCCTCTCTTTTGCCCTAAACTGGTATGTTTCTAGCTATAGTCATTGCTTCATCTCATACTCTCCTTCAGTTAACTAAAATCTTTGATAGAACAAAACGGGGGACAGCCTCATCGCATCGAACGTGGAACCAATCACCACGCTGGTCTTTCCTTGGTACTCTGTTGTACAAGACACCGGCGCCCTCGTAGCAGCTTTGATTGAAGCAGAACCTGGCAAGAAGCTCATTGGCGTCAATGAATGGCTAAGCCTTCAAGAAATTGCTAAGCTCCTAGCTCAGACTTTGGAGAAAGACATTCAGTTTGTGGACAGCGCACCTAATTTCGACCTAGGTGATTCTGAGCTTCAGCTAGCACGTGAAGAAATGATAGGCTTCTGCATTGAGTTTGGATATGACGGAGCAAAGGTCGACAAGACTGTTGTGAAGCCGATGGATCTGGGAGTGCCTGTACGGCTAATGCCCGTGAAAGAGTGGATGAAAAACCAGGACTGGGAGAAATTCTTACCAAGGGAGTAAGAGTTGGTTCACAACTGACGCAATTGAATCTAGTTAGAGGTAGTCTCGGAGCACTTGTGATGATAATGAGTGACAGAAGTTTTGTTTCACCATGCTGCGATTTCAAAATAAATTGGTATGCCCCGAGTCTCAGGAATTTCTGAACTTCTTGTACAGGTAAATTAGTAGTATCGGTACCCCCACCTCTCTGTTTACACAACATGTCGGCCACGAGTAGGCGCTTTCTTAATCTATTCTTCCAAAGGTGGCACCACAATACCGAGGAGGGGTGCATGCTGGGCAGTGCCGAGAGTATCCCGCTCGCCAACACTGCCTTGAGCCCAGGGCCGCCGAATGGTGCACTTCCAAGCTAGCGCAGCTTCAAAATACATGCTTACAACAATGTCCTCTGGCTTGATGTGGTATAAACGGCAAATGACGTCGTTATTTAGCGGATCAGCATTGCGCACCCGACGGAAGTGCGCATCATCGTCGAACATGACGTCGAATGTCAGCTCGAAGGGACCACTGTTCTTGTGTCGTACCACGGAAGCAATGGCAGACAAAGGGGCAGTGGATGAAGGGACCCGCTTCTTGGCTAATCGGGGATATCAGACATGAGAATCATCAAGAAAGGGTCATTGGGGGCTTGCTGATGGGGAGTGGGTCAGCACCAACAAAGTTCTTGAGCTCATAGAATTCTGTGCCATATGCGGCATCTCGCGTGTACGTTCCGGACCAACCTCGTAGCTGCGGATGGGGAACAGTCCGGTTGCGTCATCTACATCCATGAGATGTAGAGACTAAAGCGGAAGACCTCCCCTGCGTCCTGCTCATGAGGGCTAAGCGGACTGGCGAAGTTTCCTGTTGTGGCTAGAATACCAGGAAAAGGGGAGACGTAGACATGAGACTCGTGCACTGTTGCAAATAGCCATCGCCTTCGCGGCGCTTGGGGCTACTACTTCACCGAGCACGCCGACTTCATGTGCCGGCACAGGAGTCGGCTCCAGCGGTCCCATGATGGCATCACGCCCATACACGTGAAAAAGCAGCCGGCAAGTGTCGGATGTGTCAAGCTCAGGGAAGATACCTTTGGTATAGGACCGTACTCTGTCGAGAAGGTCGTCCAAACCGGCAATCAAGATCGGGTCACGAAAGCCACCAATAAAGATAGCACGATGACCGACCTTGGCAACACCCTCGAGCTTGACTTGATATACTGGAGTGGGTACAAACCGAGTGCCGCTGCATCTCGTTGTACGGCCATCTGCAAGCAGCTCGTATTTGGCTGTGTTGAGGTGTAGCACACCACCAGGGTCAGGAAGCTGATCTGGTCGCGCTTTCTCATACAGCGAGTGTGCAGCTACAGCTAGTGGCGTGCAGCGCTCCAACGGGTTCAAGAGAGTCAGGTCAAAGGAGTCTTTGCGCATCATTGCAATCATTGAACGGCCCTTAAGTACTGCACATTGTCCACGGCACTCCATGATCTTTCCCATGTGCTGTGCGGGAGCAACCTCCACGCCATGATACATGCAGAAGGCGGTGAAAGGAGCTGGATCATAAGCACGCCCACCAATGATGATCTCCGGGTCTTCTTCTTGTAAAGCCTTGAGAAAGCTAGTGCCCAATTGTCATCTCATAGGGCTGGGAAGTAGTGCTAGCTTTAGTGCTGTATGCGCGGCGATGGCAGTTGTAACTATGGTTGTGTTGAGGGCGAAGAATCGCAAGTTGCTCAGGGAACACTACGGAGATGACATTAGGTTGTACCTCCTGTAATTGATGATGGGATATTGGACGGATGACCTGCTGTAGACTAGTTGCCTGGCTAATGATCTGACTGCAATTGACCTACTCTTCTGGGAAGTGTTGCCCATGATAGCTGAATGCTTTTTCATTGGCTCAATTTACTTGAGCGTGTGCTGTTGCTAGGTAACTTTGAACCCCTCGCGCACCAACATCCAGGCACCTACATTTCTGTCTTGATAAATAAACGAGCAAGGTGATGTTAATTATAATAGCAGCATACAAGCTGTCGAGCCATCGCACCTCGTCTACTTAGCTCGAAGACCTTTGATTTTCATGATGACTAGCACCGAAGTTCGATACTCTACCGCCAACGTCGGCCAATCCGCACCGGCACAATCATTCTCTTGGGAAGCGCCTGTGCCGGTAAATCGGTTCTGGGATAGCATTACCTATTGCATCAGCCGCAACTTTCTGGGCAACTTCTCGGACTCAGAGCTTGGAGACCTACCAATTGACCCAGAAAGTAATGCCACCAACGAAGAGAAGTTCCACCTTCTGCTGCAATTGCTCCATGAGAAGTTAGGAAAAGAAGAAGCCGCCGCAGATCCGACTCCATTATATGAACTAGATTATAAGCGTTGGAATAGTCTGTGGCAAGCGATCTACGTATTTCAGAATGAGCTAGGCCTCCCGGAAACTGAGGCAACCCTTCGTATGCTAGTAGAGAAAGCAGACAAATCAAATGTAGTACCAAGGCATAGTACGATACTCCCAGTCTCCTGTCTGTTCACCGCACTATTTACTGCTTGAGAGCAAGACTTAGCCGAGTCGGGAAATTCCACTTGACTTATGTCAAAGGGTGTTTTCTCCAGCTCTTTCAATTCCATTTTGAAGCATCTGCTGACTCTGCTGTATAGTGCTCGCAGAATATTTAGTCAAAGTTGGTAAATACTCGGAGGCGGAGAATACTGAGCGTCCAGTGTGCGCATGGATGGATGCGCAGGAGCGCTTGGGGAAAGCCTCTCCTCAAGCCATCAATGCACGGAGGATAATTGCGAAGGCATTATGGGGGCAAGGGCATTCAAAGAGAGTTGAAGCAGAGCAGTTGATGACAGAAATCAATGAAATTATTGAGTCTATGGGGGGAGGGAGATTTGCTGTATATCAGGAAGAAGAAAGGCTCCTCACAAAGGAGATGATGGAAGAGCTTGAGCGGCAGACATAACTTTGTTCAGTTTTCTTTCCTAGAGCAATACTATCCACTTCGTGACTTGAATCAAGGTGTGACTTAGAGAATTTCTGGCATATAAGCCTCATACCCGGCGGTTGGTTCGTGAGTATTGCGGGGAGCAGCATTCCATTGCCATTTTTTCCCCTTTATGATACGCTAAATAAGACAAACCATTTCTTCCTGAGCCTTCTGAGCATATTCTCCATCCATGACGCCATGTACATAGGTATCCCCAATGAAGTTATAGAAATAATGCCGGCGTGGTTCTGCCCTCAGATCCTGTGGCAACGATGGAGGCTTGCGTAAGACTAGAGGGAAATTTGCGCCAAAGAGCACAAATATGGAGTCTCCTATGGAAATATCTACAGGACCTGTTCCGATAAGACCGCTTTTGGTTATGAAGAACCGACGATTGATCATCTTAGATTTAAAGTATGTGCTGTGCTGCTTGGAAGACCGTACCTCACGCATACAAGTCGCGACATCTTCGGGGGCAATACGACGGTATACAATCCCTGAATTAGCATCGTAGGAGTCTTCCAGACAGTTAAGAGCTAAAACACGCATGAAAGCTTCGGAATAACCGATTGACCCAACAGGATAAGTTGCATTGCTTCCGCATGTTTCCTCAGTGAGGCGCCACCAAAGCCGATCGGGAAAGTTCATGACAATAGCACCTTCTGGCGGGATGGAGAAAGCTCTAGGGTCTTGACAGGGATTACCGACTACAGCAATATCGTCGACTTTGACTCCGGAGAGCTGAAGTATGCGAGGAGCACTTAAAGTACCAGCCACTCCAAAGTTTGTGCCAAGCCCGCCACAGGCACTATGAAGAGCCCACGCATGCCATCTAAGTAGCTCTCGACCTCTGTGGCGATCTAGTGTAGCCCTCCAGTCAGGAACCCATGATGGGAGATCAGGGAGCCTGTTATATTCCCGAGTGCGCAACAAGATATCTAGACTCTTCGTGTGTTCCGTCAGCCTCCAAGCTGTGTCGAGAAATACGTCCTGACATTTCATAGAGTAGTCTGCTTTCAACCCTGCAGCGACAGTAACGCCGGTTTGCTGTCTCGCCCCAAGGGCCAACAAACCATAGACTTTGTCACGCGAGTCCCAAGATCCTCGATCCTGAAATCCTTGTAGAGACCTAACCATATTCATGCCTTCGGCAGATACTGATTCCCTTCGAGTCACTTCAATCTCCGCAATTTTGCGGTGGAATTCCTTCAAGCTCCCCACCGCGCGGTTGCAGCACATTGTGTAAAGGTGATTTCGGAAATTCGTTGATGCTTCAATCACGGACGTCCATGATATTGTCAATTGCCCACATCTAACGATACAATTCGACGGTAAAACAGCTTCTTGGACAGTCCAAATACGGTGCCACCACTGCAATTTCATCAACGGCCCAAGCGAACCCTCTTCGTTGTTTCCTGGTCGCGTGTAGTGCTCGTTCCGAGCAAGGGACTCTAGCAGGGCGAACGCCTTTATTGCATCTGGCTCATGTATGACATTTGGATCCGAAGATACCTTGGCTGATGTATTGCCCAGCCAGATGATACAGAGTGCGGCATTGGAAAAGATCGATGCCATCATATCCACCTGGAATGCTTTCTCGACGATATCCGCTTGATTGATACAGAGTGCATCAGCCCAGACTTGGACATCATGATATGAGTTCATTACACTGCGTAATGCAGCTTCTAGATTCGTTGTTATGTGATGGAGCTGCCCGTTGACGTAGATTGGTTTAAACAATGAGGCTGTACCCCAGCAATACGAGAGAACATTGTAGCTAGTCTTAGATGCTTCCTCCAGGCTGCTTGCTGACAGGGTGCAACGGATTGGCGCTGTGTCTGGCTGGGCGACCAAATCAAATCGCACGAGCCTCACTTGCTTTGTGGGGTCATCTAGGGTTGGATAGACAAAAGTTGAAGCTAAGAAAGGTGCTGCTTGCGAGTGTCGAGAAGTAGTCAGGTCAGGCTGCTGAGCCCGGAGATGTTCTCCACCGACCATTCCTTGTCCCTCCTCTGCTACGAGCTCGGGCGGGTCATGCTGACTGGCTGAGCTCACCCCAGAGTTGGTGGTGATAGACAAGTAGTCGTTATCATCCATGGACGAGCTTCATCTTGGTCCGGTGTTGATGATACGGTCGGGATGGAGCAACATTGCTGCAGGCAACAAAATAGAAGCTTTCACTGCAAAAAGAACTACCGAAGGCTTGGCTTAGCTAGCTTGGCATCATCAACAGACACGTGATGCGCAGGTGGAATCACCTCTGCTAATTTGTTGATCGCGACTGCAGCTGTTGCCAGAGGTGTTAATAAACCATTCCAGGTCATTACTTCTCGTAAGAGTTTTGACAACTTGCGCCCAGACTATCCTGGTGAGTCAATTTATAATACTGGTAGGTAGTGTTTAGCATCCCAATTCCAAGTGTTGTTCCTCTTTCATTTCATCACTGCCTTCTGTTTGGTCACTTGTGATGACGTGACCGACCCTAAGAAATTGCTACATAAGGTGAATTCAGTCAGCTGCACTGATGCTTAACACCCACTTGCCAAGTGATGGCGTGACCTGCAGTCCTCTGGTGTCATAGTTACTGACCAAGCTTCCCCGCTAGTGATTCAGTCTCTTAGTGAGGAACAAACATCTCGAACCTTGGCAATTGGCCAAGCCCACAACAACTCGGCAGTGTTACTTAGTCTGTGTTCAAAGTATTCACAGTTATCTTTGCCCGTTCAATCGCGCCGAATAATGTACCGCCTCGGATGATTTCAGGCACGGATTGCGTGTCTATTCATGACTGCTGAGGATATCATCATACATCCCCTTGCTCAACAGTTGCAATACACTATATTGTTGTTGAGGAGGATCAATCTTGGCGAGCCGCAATTCTCGGTTTTGTTGCATGCCCAGAGTCTTGGGATCAATGACGAAAGGGCTCCCTCCGCTGTGATACAACCTTGCCTGCAGCTATTATACCAATGTTTAGTGATATTGCCTCCAGAGGGATAAGAGAAGAAAGGTCAGAATGTCTACCAACAGCGATACAGAGCGCAGACGAGATGTTGGCTCCCCCCTTGGGACGCTTCTTCACTCCATTAAAGCCGGCATCTTCGCTCTGCGTAATTCTCATACGTACGAACCAGTAAACATAGATGATCAAGAAGACATGACAAACTCATCCAAACCTTTTGAGGAACAGGAAGTGGTTAAGGCTTCCTCCTCGTCTGTGGCACAGTCTCCGACAAAAGATAACGAGGTCAACCAAGCGCACACAGCTCCGAGCGAAGTGAAAGAGTCGCCTCAAAGGTCGTGGAGGTCTTATCTCTGGGACACTTTTGACAAATCCCCGGAAGAGCGTCGATTCCTTTTCAAACTTGACATCGTCTTGATGACGCTTGCATCACTCGGTTACTTCATCAAATATCTAGACCAGGTACGAGTCATGTATCGCAGAACGTATCATTTCCCATCTAATATATCAACAGGTCAACATTAACAATGCTTTCGTGTCTGGCATGAAGGAAGATCTAAACCTGTATGGAAACCAACTCAACTATATGCAAGTTTGTTGGACTGTAGGATACGTTATCGGAGAAATTCCTAGGTAATATACTTTATCGTAGTGCTTACCGGTAAAGTAGCTAACTCATTGCAGCAATATTCTGCTTACACGGTTCCGTCCTGGAATCTGGATTCCGTGCTGCGAGGTTGATATCTATCACCCGTTGAATGATGAACAAATTGCTGACTCTGTGCCAGGTGACTTGGTCTGTTCTGACTATCCTCCTCTGCAAGTGCCAGAATGCAACTCAAATCTATGTTCTACGGTTTTTCATAGGTCTAGCAGAGAGTACTTTCTATCCTGGTATGCAATATATTATTGGATCATGGTATCGCAAAGATGAGCTAGCTAAACGCTCGTGTCTCTTTCATGCTATGGGTAATGTTGGTTCAATGGTGTCCGGTTATCTGATGGCTGGAGCTCACAATCTCGACGGCGTCCATGGTTTCCACGGATGGCAGTGGCTTTTCATTACCAATACCGTGGTGTCACTGCCGATCGCTGTGTCTGGTTTCTTTTTCCTGCCAGATGTACCAGAGATAACGCGAGCGTGGTACTTCACTCCAGATGAAGTTCTACTGGCAAAAAGGCGAATGGAACTTGAAGGACGAGCGCAACGCGCACCATACACCAAAGCAAAATTTCGAAAGATTTTTTCGAGTTGGCACATTTATACGCTGGTCTTGCTCTATATTTTCTTCAACAATGGCAATGGTGGAAGTTCACAGCCAGCCTTTCCCCTATGGCTCAAAGCGGAAGGATACAGCATCCGAGAAATCAACATCTATCCGACAATAACCGAAGTAATTAGCATTATTACCACTCTCATTTATGCATGGACATCTGACAGCCTATTCCGTGGCGCTCGATGGCCAGCTATCATATTTTCGGGTTTTGTCAAGATATTTGCATACATATGTCTTACAGTTTGGAACATTCCAAATGGTCTGAAATGGGCTAGCTTTCTGCTATGCGGCTTCGGAGGTGGCATCAGCGGACTTACGTTTGCATGGGCTCACGAAATTTGCAGTGATGACAATGAAGAAAGGGCTCTTGTCACAGGATCAATGAATCAAATGGCATACGTTGTAAGCAAGTTTCGGTGTTTATATCCACCTCTCTGGGCTATGTTTCAAATACTTCGGGATAATACCTGCCAAATGGTGGATGTTAGTCTCGACACGATTCTGACAGCGTTGTCCTTCTACTTCACTCTCCCAGTCAAAGAATACCTTCTAACTCTGAGAGATATAGATTCAAGCATGGCTCCCATTAATCATCTGGCAGCAAGTTGAGGCACCTGCCTACCCGAAAGGCTATCCTAGCATGATTGTACTTGCAGTGGCATTGATTGCGACGGCCTTCGCAATACGTCTGTTACACAAACGGGAGCAGCGATTGAAAAGAGGAAAGCTACAAGCCGCTCCACACCCATAGTATTCAAGTGGCAACGACATTGCTATCGAAATGGTTGAACATGAATTGAAGGGACTTTCAAAACGTAGTTAGAGATGCATATAGACAGGGGTTTGATCGTGTTGATCCAGGACGTTTCAAGAAGGGCTCAGTTCGATTAGGATATACGAGGTCACATTAGACATGTTCGCATAAGAGGATTATGCAGCATTAAGACTCTTAAGCATGGTTCGATTGCAGTTTTACCTAACCCCTGTTGTGAGATTGAATCCTCCGTGCAAGCTTGACAACTCTCTTACTTCAAGATTTGTTCCTTAGACATCGCGAATCCTTAGTCTACTGTCTTCTCATCGATGATATCTACCTCATTCTTCAAATGGACGGCACGGCTATCATTCTTGAGGCTCGTATCCGTGCTGATCGTACAGAAAGCGGCAATAATAGAGAGCCCTCCAAAAGCGATGGCAACTAGGTACACTAGTTTGAAAGCCGACACGTATGATAACTTAACAGCTAAAGCGGCAGCTGCCTTCACGGCATCACTGATACCAGGCACGCGAGCGTATGCTGCTGCTGTGTTGACCTTTGCCGCAGCCAGAAGTGCAACACTATCAACACCATAATTATCAGCAACTTGACCAATTCGCCCGACAATAACCTCATTAAAGCGATTCGTCATGATAGCAGTGTAGATTGCTGTAGCGATGGCGCCACCTAATAAACGAAATGTGCCGGCAAGTCCCACTGCAATTCCGCTATAACATGGTTAGTAAAAATTCTGACTATTTTATGTCGGTCTTTATCTTACATATCAGTTTGGTCGTCTAGTCCCAGGGAGAGCATGGTGAAGGATATGAGCTGTGGTGGTGTGATCATCGCGGCGCCGAAGAATACGGTACAAATTGCTTGTGCTCGATCATTAATGCCCACTGACGCCATAGATGCAATCAAAGCAGTTTGGGCTATCATGAAACCGACAAGCTGCCACTTCTCATGGCCTACTCTGGAACAGAAAACGACCATGATTACCGCCCCCACTGAAACACAAAGTTGTTAGCTTAGTTGGCTGATGTTGACGAGGGTTTTACATGATACGTACGTAGACCACCATAAGGAAAGATTGATGAATAGACGCCACGGATTATGGGTTCATCTGCGGGTATGAAGAATTGGGCGGATTGTTGTGGCCAGAGGACATTCATGCTATAGTAAAGCATGCCACCCACGAAACAAACGATAATCACCATGACAAAACTGTGGAGATCATCAGCATAACGGACAGGCCTGAGCGTTCGAAGAACTTCTAATGTGACGACATACCCACGGATCTTCTTGAATAACTTTGGCGGAAGTAGTGGGTACTTTACGCTGGGTCTTGCTTCCCAGAATCCCAAGGCGACAGCAGAGCAGAACCCAATGACAATTGGGGCAATGACTGCAGGATGATTCCATGGATACTTACGCCAGCCGAAGTTGATACCAAGCAAAATCAACGTACTGGCGCCGGCGAAAAACACGAGTCCAACATAATCGAGTTCTGAGAGTAGCTGTCTTTTTGTCTTGCCATCATAACGGTGCTTCATGTGAAAATCCGGTGGCTTATAGCAAAAGAACAGGAGAACTGCCATAGCAGTGTGAAATGAGAACATGTACCAATAAGAGGCTCGCCAACTGATGGAGGTGTAACCTATGAAAGCATAGGAGATTACGGGGCTCATGTATGCGATTACAAGGCTTATGTCGAATATGCCTATGACACAGATCAGCTCCGGCCTAAACCCTTGAAATAACCAGATATCTCACCAACGCCAACCATGCGATGCTTATTGGGCAAAATCTCTTGGATACAAGCATATGCCATCTCCTGGAAACCTGATGCAATACCAAATATAACACCACTAGCAATCATCTGATTGATGGATTGACCTGTAGCGCCCACAACGCACCCAATGATTCCGAGTACGGAACCTGTGAGCATGAAATACCGGCGCCCAAAGATATCACTTAGTCGGCCGCCAACAGATACAATTACCGAGGCACCGAGTTGCCATGATATCGTGATCCAGGTGTAGTTTGTGTCCGGGCCAAGGTCTGCATTAATATATGCTAATGCTGACGCGGGTATCAGCATTGTCATGACATACGCGTTGAACTGTCCACATAGTGCCTTTTACTATCGTTAACATCCGCTAATATTTCTAGCAATAGCGGGAACAAGGATAACAAGTCATACAATGAAGGCCAAAGCGGTCTGAAGATTCAGACCATTGCTGGCATCTGCTTGTGTATCGGTTTCGGGCTGGCGAGATACATCGTGGACATGTTCAATGTCACCTGCTGTACTAGCCGCCTTTTCGGGATCTTGATGATCAGTGTGAGTAATATGCATGCCGGAGTCTTCAACCGCAGCCGCCATCTTGGATGGGAAGCACAGTGACGAACGACAATTACTCTAGGCCTTGAGCGTTCTCCATGAGTCAATTCAATGTATATACCTATTTAAAACCTAAAGAAGGAAGAGGTAGGAAAACAAAGATCCGGGCATCCGGCCCCATGACTGTTTTGGGCCAGATTGAACGCTCGCGCTCTGAGTGAACTGCAGGGTCTATCAATCCCCGCCTCGGTATCCTTAGCAATGACTCCATCCCCGGCAAACGAACCAGTCACCCGGGTCTTGGGTTTAGCGTTGATTGGGGAACAGGTAGTGTATTTCCGCTAGAACCCGGGGTCGTAATCCGCCAATAATCAATACGAGAAGCACACCTGTTTCCTGTAGCTACGAGAATACAATGCACTAAAATAAGCCCCCACTAGAGTTGTTTCAAAATGTCCGGAAATGGTCTTGGACAACCTTTCCATCATCAATTGCAATGTACTCGACGCCGACTGTCACAACAATTGAGTCCATATCGATCAATTTCTGCTCATCGGGGCGAATCTTCGTCTCGTACTCTGGATCGAGAAAAACTGCTTCAAAATCTTCATATTTGCGCACGTAAAAGTCAGCTAGGCCAGTTAACTGCCTCAGACATTTTCTTCGCAAGACTTTTGTGTTCTGAGGTAGTATGGTACTATGTCACTGTGTGTTAGACATACAGTAAGAGAAATACTAGAGATTGTTTCCCTCTGGTGAGAGTTGATTTCCTCTCTTTGTGCGCACCTGAACATAGCGAACGATTCCGCAGCGCAGAAGCCATTCCGTGGCGAGTGGACCGTGGGTGTAAGCCCAATACTTGTTGAACTCGTCCTCCGTGGTGCCTTTTTTCCGGTTGACACACACCGTGACACGGATCAGAGGCTCTGTATTCATCTTCCTGCGTATATAAAAATTTGTCTTGGAAACTGCTATTTGCTTGACTCGATGCTGGAAATAGCCCAGACCCTTTCATTCATATCTTTATACTGAGAGCCAAGTATGCCGAAAACAGCAGTACGACCAATAGGAATTCTAGCCGATGGTCTGCAATGCGCTCCGCAACCCATGGCTGGAAGCTGGATGTTCAATTTCCAGGAGGCGTACGGGAATTAGCATCAAAGTCCAGCATGAGGCATTGCGCAGATCATAGGTGCTCCATCAAATGTGGAGTTGTTAGTAGGCCGTAGCCCCAATTCATTCCGTGCCATGACATAAACGTAGTATTCTCGGATCAGCCGAATATGAATGGATTCATGGCACGTGTATTTCTTGTGATCAACGCATCATGACCATGATATATGCAATGCATTATCTAGGTCCTGGATTCTAGCTAAGCAAGTGAATAGCTATCCATCATCAACACACCCAACCGCCGTCAATTGTTTGAATAGTCCCGGTAATGTAAGTAGATCCATCGCAAAGCAGCCACTCAACTAAGTTTGCAACTTCTCTAGGAGTACCCTTGCGACGCAACGCCAGGTAATCTAGATTCGAATCACCGCCGCCCCTTATTTCAGCTGATTCGCGGAGCATTGGTGTGTCAATTGGCCCACTAGGTAAGTATCAGTTTATTCGTATCAGAAAGTTTGGTTGAGAGTTCCTCTCAAGCTCTACAATACTCACGGACAGAAAGCATTGCAGCGGATTTGACGTGGACCTAGCTCCTTCGCGGCGACTTTTGTCATGCCCACCACAGCGTGCTTACTTGCAACATATGCTGCATTTCTTGGAAACCCAATGAGACCTGCCACACTGGCAGCGTTGACGATCGATCCGCCATCGTTAAAATATGGGATCTGTGCTCTTAAGCAATTTAGTAGTCCCTTTTGATTCACACCAACCACCAGGTCCCAGTCATTATCGTCAATATCTTGCAGTGGTGTTATGTTGATATGCTTGCCAATAACTCCTGCCAAATTTGCGGCTCCGTCGAGTTTGCCGTAGATTTCGACAGTGTTCTTGATCCAGTTTTCCACCTGGGCGCGATCTTTCACATCCACAACAGTCCCGATGGCCGACCCTCCACTTTGCTGGATTTCTCCGACGACCTTTTCGAGAGCTTCCTTTTGCACATCTGCTAGCGACACCTTAGCACCTTTAGATGCTAATAGCTTCGCGGTCTCGAGGCCCATGCCCGATGCAGCCCCAGTAATCGCAATGACTTTGTTCTGCATGGCGATATATAATGTGGAAGTTTTAATCCAAATGTAGCGTAAGATGTAAAGTTGAAAGTTTCTTTGTCACTCTGTAAAACTCATGATACATGATTTGCATCCTCTTTGGGCATGTTATAGTCTCCTTTGAACAAGAGTCTCATCGCGAGACTCCGAGCATCCGATCATGGGCACTAAATCGGAAATCTAAATAGCGGTTCCACATTTTCCCCAGCTTCACTCCACCCTGCACTTCCGCCTGGAGATTTCGTAGGGCGCCAAACAACACGTCATACGTCCTCTCCGGGGAGCGTTTTCCGGCCGCCTTATTTGAGTTAGTGCAAATGGCCGATGAGTAAGTGAGCGACACTGACATTTGAATCCACATGAGATGCAGTGCCTTCCTAACCGTCCATGACCCCAGCCGCGGAATTTGACAAGGGTGCTATTAATCCCAAGGAAATTCAACTTCCTTAGCTGCTGAGATGAATTCTGCAGTCTATCATGAAGCAACACGAACGGAGTAAGCTACCGATACTCACAGAAGATTTAGATAATACTATAAGTGAGACAAAAGTTTATTTAATCGATAAATCCCTTCTTTACAACACTGGTGGTTGGCTGTGAAGTGTTCAAGCTTGAGAACTTAGCTTTGCCTTTCCTCCAGTTCTTTCCTTCAAGTCTGCGTAGTCATGTCCTTGGAAAGCTCAAGCACCAGCGGTAATGCTTCCAAAAAGCGAGCCGTGCGTATTGCAGGTGCCTCCGGTGGATTTAGCGACAGACAGCGAGCCATCAAGGACTTGGCTGCCCTCGACATCGATGTCATTTTCGGAGACTGGTTGTCTGAGTGTACTATGACATTACACGGGGCACAGAAGATAGATAATGAACGTTTACGCGCTGAGGGCAAGCTTATGGAGGAGCCGATGGGGCTTTTTGACCCAACTTTCATGGAGAACCTAGCACCAGCACTGCCTGACATCTCCCGCAAGGGCATCAAGGTAGCTGTCAATGCAGGGGCTTGTGACACACGGCTACTAGCCCGCTTGGTTGAGGACGAAGTCAAGAAACAGAATCTACCCCTCCACGTGGCTTATGTGGAGGGAGATGAAGTCACTGGCACAGTTAACAAGTTGATTGGAGAGGGGGAAGCCTTTCTAAGCCTGATGACAGGGGAAGTCTTACAAAATTGGGGTTACACCCCGATATACGCACAGTGAGTCCATTATTATTTACTCATCTGATAGCCAGAAAGAAAGATTATCGCTCTATTTACACATCATAGGTGCTACCTTGGAGGAGCTGGTATTGCGGAAGCTCTGCGTCACGGCGCAGATATCGTTGTATGTGGTCGTGTTGCAGACGCTGCACCTACTGTGGGTGGTATGATGATTTACAGTCTCTGAAGCACGAAAAAAATAATGTTAACAACTCTCAAGCCGGCTTATGGTGGCATGGTTGGGATCGGCAAAATGACTTCGACGAGATAGCTGGATCATTAATATGCGGTCATCTAATTGAATGTGCAGCCTATGTGACAGGTCAGTGTTGAATCAAATATTATGCTCTAGTTGCTCATGAGTCAAACAGGCGGGTATTATTCGGGGTTCAAGAAATTATTGAGCAACTGTGAGAATCTTGGCTTTCCGATCGCCGAACTGTTGAATGATGGTAGCTGTATCATAACTAAAGACCAGGGAGACACTGGGGGAGAGGCATGTCAAAGACCGGTACAATTCAATTCAAACTCTAATACATCTTAGGTGTCAATAGGAACAGTGGCGTCACAATTACTCTACGAGATCCAAGGGCCTCTGTACTACGGTTCCGACGTGACAGCCCTGCTCGAAGGCATTAAAATGGCTGAAGTGGGCAAAGATAGAGTACATGTCACTGGTGTCCGTGGAAAGCCTCCACCATCGACAACAAAAGTGGGATTAACTGCTGTCGGAGGCTACCAAGCCGAGTTTCATGTGTATTTATGCGGGTTGGACCTAGAAGCAAAGGCCGAGTGGACAGAACGGCAAATTCGCTATTCAGCAGGAGAGGCTGTGAAAGAATTGTCATGCTTTAAGTTTAGTCTCAACGGCTACTGCCAGGACAACCCCCGAAACCAAGATGTGGCAACAGTAGATCTGCGGGTCTTCGTGCAAACAAAGAACAAGAACTTGGTATCGAAATCATCACTTGATGTTCCAGGTTCAATCGCTGGTGTATGGATAATGGCTTGCAGGGTTGCCCTGGTTGGACCCTGGGCAACGATCAACGACAGTCCGAGGGCAAGATTTATTATGAATATTATGTAACACTCTTGCCACAAAGTCTGGTTCAGCACCGCGTCATTCTGCCATGGGACAACGATCAGGTTGTGGACATACCGCCTTGCCAGAACACAGTCGACTACCCCCGCAATCAGCCAAGCTATGAAACCAAAGATCCGGTGTCGCTCGAAAAGTTTGAACCATCGACACGCGGTCCATTGGGCTGGGTTGTTGGTGGGCGGTCCGGCGACAAAGCGTCTGATGCAAACGTAGGCTTCTATGTCCGCTATGACGATGAATGGGACTGGCTGCGTTCTCTCCTCACCATATCCAAAATTCAAGAACTTCTTGAAGAGGAGTATAAAGGCGGCAAAATAGAACGCTTTGAGATCCCCGGTATCCGTGCTGGTAAGATCTGTCCCTTTGAAAACGATTTGAATTGAGTTTGAAATGGAATGAGGCTGTGTAATTGCCGCTTTTGCTAATGCCTATTCCGCAGTACATTTCCTGCTTCGCGATCATTTAGATAGAGGATTCAACTCAACGAGTACATACGACACTCTTGGGAAAAATGTTTGCGAGTATTTGGTAGGCCCTGGTAAATGAAATGCTCAAACGCAGCCTACTTGCTGACCATGGATTGTGATATGCAGCGTGCGAAGTGGGTGAAGATCCCAAACCGTTTCCTAGCAAGGGGTGTCATCTAAACGACTACGTGGTCAAGTATAAACGACGCCGTTGATCCAGATTGGAGGAAAACCCCATGGAGACAAGCAGGAAAGTGTCCGAAAGCTGTAGGCTAACTTGATATTACGTCTAATGCGGGGTTTGAGGGGGCCATAGCAATGAGGGAAACCAACTCCGACATCATGTGTCCAGACATAGAATATAAAATAAGCATACATTCTTCACATGTGTCTCATCATCTCACCTTTGATTTGCTTTCAACAATTTTATTAGGAACAATGGATGTACAAATACCTGCCAGACAACGAACTCGCGCAACTTCCGCTTGTGTCCCTTGCCGCAAGAGTCGCATTCGCGTATGTTAGCTTCTTCCGGAGTACCTGCGCCCGCTTGTAATTAGCTCCACCACGCCCCGAAACCCAGATGAAATTTACGATTGGCAGCGCAAATTGACCAATAAGTTCTGCAGTGTATCAAAGATGCCGGTGAGAGACAATGCAAGCATTGTAAAGAGAATCGATATCAATGCATTTTTGACGATAAAGATGGCCGCAAGCGGTATTTTACTCTTGGGCATGGGTTAAAGGCAGAGATGCAACTGACTGAAATAGGCGAGCTTCTGCAAAAGTAGTGGAAAATATGCTTTCGCAGCGTGTTAAGTTGCTAGAACAGCGTCTACGAGAACATCAAACATCAACGAGGCATGAGGCAGAACGAGCAGCAGCCGTTAATCTGTCTGCTATCGATCTACTTCCTGCTCACGGAGAGCCACCACCTCCGTATCATGCTAGTCCTGAAATTCAGGTCGATGGTGGAGCGTGTAGTGAGAAAGACGCCAGCATGAGCACCGAGCCGAATACAGTTGTGGATGTGCCCTTGTCCATCATAAAGATACTAACCCGAGCACCGGCTCATTTTGACCTAGTGTCTGGCTATGTACGACACTTTGGAATGACGACCAGCGTCAGCTTGCTCTCGAGCTTGAACTCGAGTGTGAAAGTTCAGCGTTCTGAGCTTCATTGGCTAATTTGTCTCATCGTCAGAGAAATATCACCTTCTACACATAACTACTTAATGGATTTGTTTTGGGCTTGCCATAATTCCGCAATTCACCTGGTTCATCTTGAAGAGTTTTACCAAGATCAAGAAGATACGAAGGCTGAATATTATTCGCTCTTCCTTCACCTCACAATGCTTGCCGTAGGAGTTCGATATGCGGATAAGACAAGACCTGATATACAAAGACTCTTCATCCCTGGCTCTGATAGATCGACCTTGCACGAGAAAGCCATCACAATGGCCAAAGACAAGTTAGAGAAACCGGGGGGTATCTCATCCATCCAGGCGTTTCAGCTACTAGGCGCCCTTGAATATCATAATGGGATGGAAAGCACTGGGTGGTTATATACAGGTTCGAACCTAGTGGCACTTAAATTGTTCCAAGAAACATGGTTGATAATCACTAGGACTATCCTTTCGCTTAGTGTTTGACTCAGGTCTGCACATAAGTCCCAACGCATTAGAATCGACAGAAAGACAGGATCAGATTCGCCTAATGGTTTTGTGGGCAAGCTTGGTAAATGATAGGTTAAGTTTACTGATTCAAGGCTCAGATATGGTTGCCAAATACTTACTTCATGGGTGACAGAATCTGGTCCCTGTATATGGGAAGACCTGTGACCCTCAAAATCAACGACGTCTCAGCCGATTGTTTATCATTTAATTTCGATAAGCTATTAGCTTGTAAAGGACCCGGACAAGAGAAAAAAATTGGAACGAGAATTTACGAGTTACTTATACGTTTAGTGGTGCTTGCCAGTCCATTGGGCAACCTCGGTGAATATGATACATCTACGTGGGAATCATACCTAAAAATGACGGCTATAGGCCAGGACCTCAAAAACTGTCACGCCACCATACCTGAAGATCTCAGGTGGCCTTCTAAACAACCAGCAACGATGCCTCCTTCATACTTCTTATTACAGTACGTTATGCCACCATATCCATATTTGTTGTATCTCTTCATCAACTGCGACTCACATTTCATGTTGAATAGCACACAATATCACACATCTATGATATTGCTACATGCGCCTTTTGCCAACCGCCTAGACACCGACCAGTCTTCAGAAGCCACCGTTGATGAGGGCCTTTCTAGGCATTTCGTTGCACTATCGCGCTCCGCCTCCATTGACCATGCCAAGTGTATAGCTACTATATTCGACCAATACACGACTCGGCTTGACCCTAGTCAGGTATTTGGGACAGCGATCTACCATGCTAGCACAGCAGCGACGGCACTGATGAGGGAGCTGGCCCGAGTCGGGAGTGGGATTACCCTGGCTATTTCTTTGGAACACATTCTTACGCCGTTGATGGCATTGCGCACAGTTTTGGATATTATGGGACGTACATATCAACTAGCTGCAACCAGCACGACCATCATCGACCAGTTTCTTGCCGAAATACGCCTCGCTAACGAGATGGCGTTTGCCAATTTGGAGGTTGGTGATCTGGTGGGCTATTTTGATGAAGAGCCATCAACCGATAGCATGATAAACTATGATGACGGAACAGCGGGATCGGATCCAATGTCTCGTATGATCTTGGACATGCCATCGTCCTCAAATATCAACAGTCTCGCCATGGAAAACAGGGACTTTGTCACTTCGATTAATTCTAGTAGCTTAGCCTTTCCTTAATGTGGCGTATAACGAAAAATAACAACCCGACAACGACACATAGCCAAGCGTTCAATATTACCTGATTTTCAACACGGAGTTGATATTGCTCCATTGAGACCAATCCACTGCTCACATCAAACAAGACAAGGCCATGCATGCGGAAAGTTACGCTATTTGTATCTCATTCTCCTGCGGTCCGGCATCTCGCCAGGCTTGCGCATGAATGATCGCCACTGTACACTAAAGCGGTTGTTATCAGTAAATGTGTTACAAAGACGAAAGAGCTTGAGCAGGCGAGTGAATCGCGGAATCGCGGCAACTGAAATCCACAGTTTGTCTCGAGACTCGGAGGCTTGTTGTACAAGTCGAACAAGCAAGTGAGAAAACTGCTTACCCTATCTCCAGTCCCATCAGGATGACCCATGTCAAAATCCACCACCAGAACGTTCACGAGCCCACTGCCGGATCCTGTTGCGGGGAATGCCTCATCGTCAAATAGTCGGATTTCACCCTCAACACGGTACGGCCCTTTCCTGGGACGATATGCGTTACCATATTCTGAAATCTTCACCATCTGGATTTTTCCTTCTGCTTCGGGGCTCATATACTGGCCAACATACCCATACCCGGCTTGTTCAAACCATAAACCGCAATGCAACCCTCTTTTATCACAGATGCGCCGTACAGCCTGAGGGCTCTGGCTATGAACATTGAACTGAGTACTAATGTACTCTTTTTGAGGTTTAATCTGGAAGGCTGACACCGGCAACGTTGGCGCGGTGAAGCGTAGCAAGGTAGCTTCAAGCGGAGGATCTCTACTTTCGATCGGTTGCGGTGGTAGGACAATCCATGATGAGC